GCGGGCAGTGAAAGGGACACAAAAGGGCGTTAATCTGCTGGCTCAGCTCGCATTCTCCTCATAGCCAGATAAAGTCGAGGGGATTTCCACTCCTCCGTTAAATTTCCAGCTGGGAGAACAAAACAATGCCCAGGCCGGAGGTATTTAAATGTGAAAAGGTTTTGCTTTGGAGCAGATTTCACCCCCCTCCAAGAAATGGAAAACCTTCCCACCCCGGAGCCGGGAGTCCCACTTAAAGGGAGCTCCGCAGCAACAATGCAGCTTTTACAGCCTCGCTAACACACAAAAAACCGGAGCTCCCCCAATTAAGGCTGTTTCAACTCCCCTTCCCCCACCAAAACCAGCATAAAAGTGCTTTATACCAGTACGGCCATGGAGGAAAGAAAAAAGCAGCAGGCAGAGTTATGGGGGGGTGTATCCCCCCTAAAAAAAAAACCTCTCTGGGATGATCTGGCTTAAAGGAAGCACCGCGAGCGTCTCGTTTCTCAGTGAGGAGGGAAAAACAGCGCTGGGTGGTGAAGATCCAGCCAAAAACTCACCTGGGAAGCCGGCAGAAACCACCCCGCTGCGGCTAAAACACAGCTGAGCTGCCCGGATAACCCCTCTGGCTCTCCCTCGGCCAAACCGATATGCGCTTTGGGTCTCGGAGGTCTCTGCAGGGATTCTTTCCACTCACCTTTTTCACCATGGTGGTCTCCGAAGAGTCAAGTTTGGCTTTTTTGGTGTCCGGCCCATCTTCCACGCCCGGGCTGACTTTGGCGACCTTGGTTTTCTCTCTACGGAGGAAAAAAAAATTGAGCTCGCTTTGAGAAACTGCAATCCTCGTTTGTGCTGCTCAGCGTCAAACGGTCTTTTATGACTCTTAAAGATTTTAAATCTCCAGGGTCCCGAAAAGTAGGCACCCTCCCCGAGCGGGTGAAGACAGCCGAAACACTTACGCCCTTCTTGCATCGGGTTCTCCTCCCCCCACCCGCTCCCCGAGACCCCCCACTCACTCCACAAATTCGTGTTCCCCAAGGTCGGCAAACATATAACCATGGTAGCCGAAAACGTCGCCGGTGAAGAACTTGACGCTGTTCTTGTGGCAAATCTGGTCGATCTTCACCATAACGTCCCGGGAACAGCAGGTCAGGCAGACCTGCAGGCAGAGAGGGGTTGTTCTCAGCCAAAATTGAACGTTTACCCCCCTCCTTCCCTCCTCCCGGTATTATTAGGGGGTGTGAAATCTTCCTGGGGCAGCGGGGAAGGTTCCAGGTAGATTTGCCGTTTCATTCACAGCGGGGGTAATTATCAATCTTCCCCTTCCGTCACACGGGCTAATTCCAACAGCCTTCGCTCCAGGGATAATTAGGAGGTTAGGGGGATACGGCATCCCGTTTCCGGATAATTTTGGTGGGAATTGGGGGACGAAGGGGTATTTTTAAAGCTCAGGGCCTATCCTGGGAGCGGAGGAAGATACGTACCCTGGGGTAGCTCCCCGCAGGGCCACATTATTACAATCAACGCTTTACGTGGGCTAATTCCAACAGCCTTCGCTCCAGGGATAATTAGGAGGTTAGGGGGATACGGCATCCCGTTTCCGGATAATTTTGGTGGGAATTGGGGGACGAAGGGGTATTTTTAAAGCTCAGGGCCTATCCTGGGAGCGGAGGAAGATACGTACCCTGGGGTAGCTCCCCGCAGGGCCACATTATTACAATCAACGCTTTACGTTCC